ATCTGCCTGTTCTGCTCCCCACTCTGTCTCTGGTGAATCCTCTCACCCTCCGCATCTCTGGCCTGTACCCCAGTTTTGTATGAATAAATAAATCTATATAAAAAAAAAATCCACACAAGTAAAGAGTGCAAAAATTGGGAAGCTAGATTATTAGCAACATATCTCACAGTTGATCTGGGTACCATGAACTGCTGACCCATTGCATATAGTACATGGCCCTGTAGAATGTGCCATAACTTTTCCATGTCAACCAACACTAACCCAGTGATCACTTGTGATAGATGAATCAGGAGAAAGAACACATTCGTTAAGATATCAATTTGCTTCCATTCAACCAACTCAGCAGCACAGTTCAATTTTAGTGTTGTAACTCTAGTCTTCAAGTGACCCCCTCTACAGACCTTCTCCAATCACTCCGTGATACTCACTTCATACTGACCCAGGTGGAAAAGGGCTGCAGAACGATTGGCATAACACAATGAAATATTTTCAGTGTTTGGCCTTGAATGTGATATTCCCTGCAAAATAATGAATTGGTTAAATGTGTAAATGAAAACCAGTTTCTTAAAAATATTTTTCAATTAATAGGTGTTTCACTATTAGAATGTATGAAACTGGGGAAACTAATGCATCTTTTTGTGTTTCAGCTTTATTTTGAACAAGCTTTACAGCAATGCTGTGAAGCTAGAGTAAGGAAATAAATATTCAAAACACTTGGAAGATGAGAGCATCAGATACAGCTTCAGCCATAAACAATACAGCCATAAACAATACTGAACGTAAATCAAAATGGGGAAAATAATACATGTATAGTCTTACATATAACAAAGGATATGTGGCATAAATAGAGCTTCACAAAAGAAGAAATAGCATATATCCTAGTGACAGGTTTAAAACAAAAGGATAGCTCATATATGGACAGTCAAATGTATGGAAATGGAAAAAGGTACTTTCTTTTTACCACCAAAATGGTAAGTCATAATGGTGGCATCTCAAATCAGTAGAGAAAAGATGGGGATCATTCAATGCAAATACTGGAGCAATTAGGTAACCATGGAGGAAAGATAAAGTTGGCTCTACAAAGATGATGAACTTTCATAAGAATAAATTCTGAACAAAATCTGAATGTAAAAATATATATAAAAGCACCAGAAAAAAAGAATAGCAATAGTCTAAAATAACATTGGAGGGCTTACCTGGTGGTGCAGGTGTTAAAATCGGCACCATCAAGCTATTGGCAGCCACTGCAGTTTGATCCTTGGTCAGGAAGCTGGCCTGTATAGCACAGCAGACCTCGCCTGTCTCACCAACTGCTCCCCTCAGTGTATTTCAGTGGATCTGTCTGCTCTGCTCCCCGCTGTCTCTGGTGAATCCTCTCACCCTGACACCTGTGGCCTACCACTTTTCTTGTATGTATAACGTTGGAGTAAGGAAACCCTTTCTTGACACAAAACCCAGAAGTCATAAAAGGGTAATAAATTTGACTATAAACACAACATTTTTTACAAGATTTATTTATTTATGCATACAGAACTGGGGTACAGGCCAGAGGTGCAGGGGCAGTGAGAGGTTTCACCAGAGACAGAGTGAGGAACAGAACAGGCAGATTAACTGAAATACACTGCTGTGGGAAGCAGTAGGTGGGTCTAGAGAGGTCTGCCAGGCCATGTGGGTCACTCCCTGGTCGGGAATCAAACTTGTGCTGAAGTGGCTTTAGCTTCATAGTACTGTGCTTTAATGCACTGTGCAACCAGGGAGGGCACACAAAAATTTTTTATAGCAGTAGTCAATAAAAGCAATATGAAAAGACAAACGCTGGGCTAGAAAAATATTTGCAATTTATATCATGGGCAAATGGTTTATTTCTTTACTTTATGAACACTTTCTACAGATCAATAAAATGACAAACAGTTCAATAGGAAAATAACCAAATGATATGAGCAGAGTATTCTAATGGGAAATACCTCATTCACAGTCAGTAAAATGCAAATTAAAATTCTTGAGGTAATTTTTTTTTAATCTATCAGATTGACAAAAGTGAAAGCGATAGCACAATGAGTTGGCAAAGGAGTGGAGTAATAGGCATTCTCAGATGTTGCTAGTGGGAGGATAAATCGGCACTATGATTATGGAAGCAATTAAGGTATCATATATATATATCTTTCAACATATGTATCCAATGGCCTACTGATTTTTCTAAGAATTTATCCTACAGATACACTTTTCCTATAGATATGTACTGAGTAATACACAAAGTTTCACGGAACTATATGTGATACTATATATATATATGTCACAGAACTATATGAAACAGAAATAACATACAACTTAAATACTGATCTGGAAGATACTAATTAAATAAATGACTATATTTCCATATAATGAAATACCATGTAGCTACTGGGGGAAAAAAATCATGAACTGATATAAGATAGATCTTACGATATTAAGTAAAAAGAAGTGTGGTACTGGCACTGTGTACAGAATGGTCTTTTTATGTAAAAAGAGTATGTGTATGCAGGAGTGGGAGATTATTTGTATTTATATACATATGCCAAAGTACCTCTGGAAAGATACATTCAAAGGTGCTTCTGAGGATGAGAAGCTAGGTCTAGAGGACAGAAGACATAGATCACATTATATATTCTTGCTATGAATTATTTCCTACTCAAAAATAGATAAAATGATAATAAAAGCCATTAACAGGATTGCTGAGGACAGAGAAAAATGAACATCCCCATGCTATACTAGAAGGGATGTTAACTAGTTCTTTTCTAAAGATAATGTAGCATAAAGACCATAAACCTTTAAAAAATACACTTAACTGACCCAGAATGGCCCTTCGAGGAATTTATACTAAGAAATAATCAGATGTGTAAAAATATTTATGGAGAAAGATGTTCATTGCAGCTTTATGATACAAAACAACCTGCCAACATTAGAAGATGCTAAATCAACTACAGTTCCTGGTAGTAGAACACTAAAACTGTTGTAAAGAGTCATGTTCTAGTGGAAAATTTAGTAACATGACAAAATGGTTACAATAAATCATTGAGGGAAAAAAAGCAGATTATAAAACAGTAACAACAGCATTATTGCAATTTTGTAAAAGAAAAACATTTTCAGAGGTGAGGAAAAAGTCTGGCTGGATGGATATAAACAAAAATGTTAACAGTACCTATCATTGATTATGGGATATTTTATTCTTTGTGTTTCTGTATATTTTCCAAGTAATTATATATTACATTTATAATCAGACAAAAACAACAATTTTTAAAAAAGATTTGTTTATGCTTACAGAACTGGGGTATAGGCCAGAGGTGTGGTAGGTAAGAAGATTCACCAGAGACAGAGTGGGGAGCAGAACAGGCAGACTGATGAAGTACACCGCTGAGGGTAGCAGCGGGCGGGTCAGGAGAAGTCTGCCATGCCATGAGGGTCAGCTCCCAGGTTGGGAATCAAACTCATGCTGTAGTGGCTTTGGAGAGCTTCATAATGTGGTGCTTTAATCTGTTGTGCCACCAGGAAGAGCCCATATTTTTAAAGATTTATTTATTTATGCATACAAGAACTGGGTACAAGCCAGAGGTATGTGAAAGGGTGTGAAAGAACTCACCAGACATAGAGTGGGTAACAGAACAGGCCAAATGACTGAAATACACTACTGAGGGGAGCAGTGGGCAAGATAGGAGAGGCCTGCTGTGCCATGTGGGTCAGCTCCATGGCTGGAGGTCAAATTCATGCTGCAGTGGCTGCAGACAGCTTTATAGAGCTGCACTTCAACTCCTTGCATCACCAAGGAGGCCCCAACAAATATTATTTTAAAAAAGAAAATAGCAGCTTTATAAAAAAGTGCAAAGGACTATAAGCATCAAAATATTAGTTTCATAAGATACGAAGGCTCATCTCTTCCAAATTCAAAGCAATCCTTAATTTTTTTGTCTGATTTCATTTCTTATTTATTTCCCTTGAACAACTTCTTATGCAATCATGTTCATGATATACATACATAAAATTGAAGAGATTAGCTCTAAAAATATTAAGCTATTTATCAGTAGATCATTACATTTAATGAATTTAAGTCTACAGTAATCACTAATGCTTACATATTAAGCTGAACACTTTCCTGTAACCTCACAAAAGCCCTCCTTTGGGCTTTTATGCTATAGAAACTGCTGTGTTAGGCATGACAGTTTTGGAAAATTAATTTCAAACTTTAAGTACAGGCCTGTTAAGAATAGAGGTATGCTCTTCAAATTTACATTCATTCTTTTAACATTTATATCTTGACACAAGTCCATATAGTCTGCTTTAACTTCATATTTATAAAAAGTTATAAAAGAACAAATTGTGGAAAGACACAATTCTTTCTCAAAATCTTTCTCAAAATCTTAGTGTAATTTTAAATATTTGTTGACAAATTTCTAAATGGAATTCAACCAGCCAGTAGAAAATGAGCCTATTTTCTTTTCTAACTTAATCTAAGTCATACTGGTTGCAAGCTAAAACTGGTTTGGGGTTTTTTTGGGCCAAAGTAACAACCACACAAAAATGGCATACAATTTAATGAGCGATGACAGACTGACAGACAAGGATGAGGCAGGGCAACAAGCTTACTGCTACAAAGGGCCTGAAGAAATGTGGGAATAGACATTTCTTGATAGAACTCAGGACATTTCATATAAACTGCCTTGTTTCAGAATATAGTCAAGGACACAATTCTACCAGTTTTCTTTCTCAAATAAATCAACAACAAAAAAATCAATCCTCAAATTATAGAGAGAGCTAACACACGCTATATATAATTCAGCAATATGATTCTATCTTCTGAAAAATACACACTGCTAAGTCGCTGAGACAGCTAAGTTCAGCTGGGATTGTTTTACCTTAGAGTACAGTACTGTGGCTTCCACATACTCTTTCTTCTGAAATTTTTTGTTTCCTTGTTCTCTGTAGAAAATAGTAGCATCAGGGTCCTTTTCCACGAGGTAACCTCTACAAAGCCTTTTTAAAAACATTTCATCTTCAGGTCTTCATGAAAAAACAAACATACAAACTTATTATTTTAAAGAAAGTTCTTAACTCTTGCACTTCAAACAAAAGAAAGTTCTTAACCCTTGCACTTGAAATGTCCTGAGTTCTGTCTGCAAAACAGTTCATGAGACTGTATGATGTGCTGTGACTTGGAGAGAAATCTTGTAGGCTCAGAGACATAGGGACTAGAATTTCAATTTAGAGGTCAGAGTGCTGCTTTTTATTCTTTATTTCATAATCTTTGGCCAATGAACCACCCTTTGGATAATACATCACAAGGAAGCCTTGCTATGGAGAAATAAATAATATAGAGTTTTTGTACCAAGGTGTACTCTCCACTTACTGTTCAAAATACTGACTGCTGGATAGATGAATACAAGGGAGGTAGAATGTGGGCCAGAAAGGGACAAAGATGGAGAGACAATCATAATGCAGTCAAATACTGACATTTGGGGAATTTGAAGAAAAGTATTATACAGCAACCCTTTGTACTATTTTTGCAAGTAACTGGAATTATTTTAACTTGGAAAATTAAAAATGTTAAGTATTCAGGACCTCCCTGGTAGTGCAGAGCTTAAAGTCTCAGCTCTGTCAAGCTATCTGCAGCCACTGTGGCATAGGCATAGGTTCGATTCCTCACGCCAAGGAGCTAATCCACATAGGGCAGCAGACCGCTTCCATCTTGCCTGCTGCTCCAGTGTATTTCAGCAGATCTGTTCTGCTCCCCACTGTCTTTGGTGAATCCTCTACCCCCATCCCTGCACCTCTGGCCTATACTTCAGTTCTTGTATGCATAAATAAATTAAAAAGTTAAAAATATAAATATACAAAGCTGTATATAATAAAGTTGATATACATAAATACTCAAAGATAGACACACTAAGGATAGCAAGTATACATTTTTAAAAAAAGATTTATTTATTTATGCATACAGAACTAGGAACAGGCCAGAGGTGCGGAGGTGGGGAGGTGAGAGGATTCACCAGAGATAGAGTAGGGAGCAGAACAGGCAGACTGGCAAAATACACTGCTGAGGGGGGCAGTGGGCGATACAGGAGACGTTTGCTGTGCCATGTGGGTCACCTCCCTGACAGGGATCAAACTAGTACTGCATTGGCTCTGGATAGCTTTATAATGCTGTGCTTTAACCCGTGACGCCACCAGAGAGGGCTCTCCTTTTTATTTTTCTTACTGACCTGTAGACCAATTTACTAATACTATGGTCCATTATTTTCAATTTGCTGTCAACTCAAAACTTGATAATTTTAATTATGGTAACCTTGATTTCTAGAAAGTCCTTTTGATAATTTTTTGATCTTCAATCATTACAATTTTTTACTACGTTAAAATATGCATTACAAAAAAATACTCTCTTCAGTGTTTTTAGGTTTATACTTCAGTAGTATTAAATATATTCACAATAATGCACAACTGCCACCATCAGCTATCTCTACAACTCTATCATTTTATAAAATTGAAATTATATACCCATTAAATAAAACTATTCCTATTCCCCCAATTTCCAATCCCTGGAAACCATCCTAGGTTTCTGTTTCTATGATCTTGATTACAGACTCTCCCTGACTTATGATTTTTCAAACTTAAGAAGATACGAAATGATAAACATTTAGCAAAAGTCATACTTGAAAATTTGATCTTTTCCTGGGTTAGCAATACTGTTAAAATATTCTCTTGTGATGCTGGGCAATGGCAGTGAGCACAGTTCTCACTCAGTCATGCTATCATGAGGGTAAACAAGTGATATTCTAGAGTATACTATATGGTTAGCATATTTTGGACATTGTATTTTGGCATCCCATCATGTCTATAAAATGTCCATCTGTGCCTTCTGCTTTGGGTGAGAAGAAGAAAAAAAACTCTAGATAATTTGAGCAGACCAATGTAAGCATCCTAAACATGCTCAAGGAAGGGTAGGCTTAGGTTTGATGCTTAATAAGGTGTATTAAGCGCCTTGGTACTCCTAAGTACTTCAATTTTATTTTTTTTATAGACTAAGTTCTTTACTGAAATCCATCTTTTTAACCTACACTGCCCAACCTTTCCTCTATTTTCTAAAACATATTAATCACAGTTATTAAAAATCCAGCAAATATTCTATAAAACAAAATGATTTTGCTTTTGGGCTTGAGTTTGGGTTTCCTCTAATGTCCAGTTTATCAATCAGCCCCAAATGGCTGATAAAAGTTTGCTTGTGTGGGGTGGGTCCTCCCTTGTGGCACAATGGGTTGGGTACAGCACTGCAAGTAGCAGCTGCTTCAGTGCAAGTTTGACCCCTAGCCAGGGAGGTGACCCACATGACGTAGCAGACCTCTCCTGTCTCGCCTGCTGCTCCCCTCAGCAGTGTACTTCCTCAGTCTGCCTGTTCTGCTCCCCACTGTGACTCTGCTGAATCCTTTCACTGCCACTACACCTCTGGCTTATACCCCAGTTTTGTATGTATAAATAACAAAATCTTAAAAAAAGAAAAAAAAAAAAGGTTGGTTATCTGTTCCCCTAGTCTCATGGCATTTAAATACCACATATTGTTTCCAAGTCTGTATCTTTAACCAGCCCTCTCTCCTAAAGTCCATGCTCATTTAGACATCTTCATTTGACTATCTACCAGACCTCTCAAACTGAAATCTGAAGCCTTTGATCTTCCTTCCTAAAATAGCTCCACCAATCACCTTCCCAGGTGATGGTAATTTTATCCTTCTACCTTTGGCTCTTCAGCTATAAATCTCTACAGTCACTTTTTATTTCTTTCTCAAATACACCATTTCCCACCTTTCAAGAAATGATACTAAATCTACTTTCAGAATCCAACCACTTCTCATCACCCTCACTACTACCACTCTGGTCTCATCTCACCTGGATTAATGCAAAAGCCTCCAAATAGTCTATTTCTACTCTAATCTTTAAATACTGTGGCCAGAGTGATCCTTTAAAACAGGGGTCAGCAAACTTTTCCCATAGAAGCCAGAGAGTAGATATTTAGCCATCAGTAGAAATTTATTTGGCCATCAGTGGACAAAATCTAGGTTATTGCACGGGTGATTAATAGAAGAGGAAACAATTTCCTATAATCTTTTTACTGACAAAGGTCAAAATATAATAATTACTGAGTATAGTTTTTTTTTTTTTGGTAATATAGTTCTACTAATGAGAAAAATGGAATTAAAAATAAATGGATACCATTTTAACTGGAACTCAGAAACAATGTTCCTCATCACAAACTGATTGCAAATATTTATTAGTGAAAAACAGTTCTTAGTTGATGACCACACAAAAACAGTTTGTGGAATGGATTTACCCTGCATGCTGTAGTTTGCCAACTCTTGCTTTAAAATATAATCTTAGCACTCTCAGAATCTTGTGAATTAATTTTCCAATGTATAACAGTTACCACACACTCACCAGCCTAAAAATAATACCTATGTATTATCTTCACATATCTATCCATCAGAAGTCATGGTAGGTTTGTCTGGGTTCTCTGCTTAAGGTCTTACAAAGATGTAATAAATCAAGGTGTCTTCTTATGGAGAGCATCTGGGAAATAATCTGCTTCCAGGCTCATCTAGGTTGCATGCAACTATAGGCCTAAGGTCTCTATTTCTTTGCTGGCTGGCAGTCAGGAATTACTCTCAGCTTCTAGAATGTTTGCATTTCTTTTGTGGGCTCTTCCATCTTAGAAGCCAGAAAAGGTGCTTTCAAATCTCAAGCTTTAAATCTGACTTTCCTTTCTGCTAACAGCTGGGAAAAAACTCTGTTTATAAAGGTCTCATTAGATTGAGTTGGACCCAACCAGAGTATTGTACCTTAAGGTCAACTGACTTTGGATGTCCATTACATCTGTAAAAACCCTTCAGAGAGGTACCTAGGCTAATGTTAAATTGAATAATTAGGGAACAAGGGTGCTGAATTTAGAATTCTGCTACCACATCCTGCAGTAACTTCATACTCAAAAAGGGCCAATATTTATACCACTTGCCCTTTCCTATTTTTTCTCTTTTCTATTTTACTTATCCCCTTTAACATATATACATTACTTATTTTTGATGTATAATGTCTGTTCTTCCTTGCTAGAATTAAACTTCTCAAATGTAAGCATCTTTTTTGTTGTGATGTATGTTTTGTTCACTAAGCACCTAGGACAGTGACTGACAAAATAGATGATCAATAAGCGAGTTTTCTGAATAAAATCTTGGGACACTCTTGCTACAGTTTTCTTTCTTTCGTTCTTTTTTTATATTTATTTATTTTGCATAGAAGAACTGGAGTGTAGGCCATAGGTGTGGGGGCATGGGTGTGTGAGAGGATTCACCAGAGACAGAATTGGGAAGTAGAATAGGCGATATACTAAAGTACACTGTTAAGGGGAGCAGCAAGTGAGACAGGAGAGATCTGCTGCACTGTATGGGGGTTAGCTCCTTGGCCAGGATTGAACTCAGGCTGGAGCAGTGATAGTGATGATAGCACTGAGACTTAATCCCTATGCTACCAAGGAGGAACTTGTTTTAATTTTCTATCGGTGTGTATACCAGGTTATGACATAAAAAATATATATTTTACTGGGCCTCCCTGGTGGTGCAAGTGATTAATTGTCGGCACTATGAAGCTATCTGCAGCCACAGCAGCACAAGTTTGATCCCCAGCCAGAGAGCTGACCCACATGGCACAGCAGATCTCTCCTGTTTTGCCTGCAGCTCCCCTCAGCAGTGCATTTCAGTCAGTCTGCCTGTTTTGCTTCCCACTATTTTTGATGAATCCTCTCATCCTCCCACACCTCTGGCTTACACTCCAGCTCTTGTATGCATAAATAAATATTTAAGAACTGTATGTGAATCCTCTCACACACCCCTGCCCCCACACCTCTGGCCTACACGCTAGTTCTTCTATGCAAAATAAATAAATCTATATACATATAAATATTTACTGACTAGTGTAGTCAAAAAGTTTAAAAACTATAGGGACTATACTACATGACCTCTAAGATCTTTTTAAAATTTCAGCACCTATGTATCTCTATGTGCAGTTAGTAATATTCTGTAATATTCTCTGGGGTGTGGCAAGATTCACAACAGACACTTTACAAGACAGTGATTATTTAAACATATTATTGACACTGAAAAAGGTAAGTAGCAACCCTACTGTTCCAGAAAAAACTGTGGAAACAAGAACTGCCAAATGCCCCACATAAAAAACCTGAACTTAATCCTTCCACCGAAAGTAACACTATTAAGAGAACACAACAAATGATGAAAATTCCTCTGGTTAAAGCTTCCATTCACTTACCGAAGAACTGAAGCCGAGTGAAGAAAGATTTCGCTCAAAGTTTCTGCCGTAGAAATTGTGACTTGCACTGACTTTGGGAGCAAAGACCACTTCTGAAGAATGTATGATTTCCACTCATCCACAGGTAAATCCATTCTATTTTAGAGCTATAAAACAAGTAAAAAAATAGGGAATTGAGAATTCTAAAATACACATTTCGCTAGTGTGACACAACAAAACTTGTCTTTTTCTATCGTAAGTTTATTTGTTAGCAAAGGATCTATATTCACTCTCACCAGTTCACTCAACATCTTTCATTCCTATTGAAATCTACTTTATGCTAGGTACATTGCAGGTGACGCTTATATTAACAATGAATCCGATTACAGCCACCATCCCTGTCCTCTCAGGCCCTAGTCGTTCAAATCAGAAATCTGAGAGACATCCCCAATCTCCTTTCTCATTCATCCCGGCAATGCTTAAAGTTAACGAATATTTTTTATTTCAAACATAGTTTAGCTTTCTTTCAATCCTAAAATTAATCCTTCAGTTCCAGCCCTGACCATCTCCTGTCTGGCATTCTCTCCGAAGTCTCCTAATCAGAATCTATGCCCTAAATCCTACCCAACCCCAATTCATTCCACCCTCCACGGAGACACACGCCAGTACTGTGCTTTAAATTCACCACTGCTCCTCTTAGCATTTAGGGAAGCGCAGCATACAGCTTCATTATTTGACCCTTTGTTTACTGGCTTATGCTTGTCTTACTTTTCTTCTGTACTATAATGTGCTACCCCCAGTTTGCCAGGCTCTCTAGTTTTTGTGTAAGTTATTCATTCTTCCGGAGGAGCCCTACCCTCACTTGGAGGCATTTCTGGCAAATTTCCACACATCCTTCAAGATTTAGCTCAGAGGGCACCTCCTCCAGGAAGCCTTTCTTGATTTTCCATCTGTGCATCCTACACACGTTATTTCTCCTGGGGCCCACCCATGCCTATCTGGAGTCAGAGCCACCCAAAACGCAAACTCCCTCCATAGACAGCACTCTCCTCTGAGGGCAAGGATAGGGCCTTATTACCTTCAGAGGCCTCACTGCGCTAAACTGAGCAGGGCACCAGCGGGAGGTCGGCACGCTGCTGCTGAAGGAATCAAGTCACAGCTTTCAGTACATTTAGCTGCAACTATCAGGGAACGACTCTAACTCTCCTCGGGGCTACCAATCTCTACCCGCCAAAGTCTCAGTGGGATATGCTCCCCAGGACCCGGTCCGAAAGTTCCGGAACTGCGCCACCGCCCCCAAACCACATCCGCGGCACGCTTGGCGCGCTGGGCGAACCCGCCTTTAGACCAGCGCCATCCGGCTAGGAGGCCCAGAAGCTGCGCGGGGACCGGTCACGTGAACAGCTTGCCGCTCCTCGACCAATGAGATTGCTTCTTGGCTGCTAGGCCCGCCCCCGTGCCTCGAGCACGTCGGGAGGCGGGAGTGGAGCACGCAGCTGCTCCGGCCAATCACTCTGGAGCGCGCGGGACCCCGGGAGTAAAGTCAGGCTGCGGAGGGCCCGGAGCGCGGGAGTTGGCGCAGCGGAGCCATGAGTGGTCTGAGCGAGGGGGCCATTGCGGTGAGTGGTGTTCAGTGAACTGGGCCGGCGGGACGGGGTGGCAGTGGGCGTTGGGGCTCTGCGGAGAGGAGCGATGGGGATAGGACGCTAGAGTAGTTGTTGGTGGGGACGGTGAGGCGGGGGGAGAGGGTTGGAAGAACCGCTGGGGTCTGAACAATCTCTCTCCTGCGAGGACTGCCCCCCCCACCTCGACATTGTCTTTTAAACATGCTGACGCTTTTCCTGCTTCAGAAGTCGAAACAGATAAACTATTGTTCTTCACCCTACTAGCCTCCAGCGTCCACTTAGTCTCCTCCCCTTCCCTGCCACAGCCAAACTTGCTGCTGTTCTCTGTTCGCATTTCTTTTGCTCGCCTGCCGTTAACCCTTTAACCCCTTTGAGTCAGTCGGTCCCTCGATCACCATAGAAACAACCCTGGCTGAAGCTAGCAATGCCTCCAAGTCGCGAAATGCAGCACCCAGTTTTCAGTTTGCAGCTTACCAGCGTTCTTAGCAGTGTTGGAGTCTGTTAAGCCTTGTTTCCTATCATTTCAGCTTCCTTGGTTCTCCCATCTCTTATTTTGCAAATCTTTTGTAATTTTTGACGACTTAAGGCCCTTTAGGACCTCTCCTCCCAGTATTCATCTGTATGTCAGTTGCTCACATGTTTATTTGTCCAGGGCTACTGTTAACTCTGAATGACAAATATCTGTAATCTAGCAGTCTTCCTGAAATCCTGAAAGACCATTTAAAATTCAACTCGTCTCCAAAGCTCATTTATCTTATTAAATCTGGGCCTTTTGGTGTTCTCTGTCTGCATGAATGATACCATTCGTTATCCATTAAATTGTGCTAGCCAGAAATGGAGAAATCATTATTCCTACAACTCCCATCTCCCTGCATGTCCACTCCATCACTAAGTCTAGTTTATTTTACTTTCAAGTATGTCACTTAAATCCATCTACTTATCTGTCCACACTGGCACCGGTATTCCTTGTTTGGTCTACTTACTTACACTAAACATACCATCTTCCCACCTAGTCCACCTGTTCTTTCCTCCTTTACAGCTTTTTTTAAAATTTAATTCCAGGTGTTTTCCATATTTTCCTTTACAGGGCCTTTGAACTTTACTTTTTCCTCTTCTGCCTAACTCCCCTTGCTGGTTAACAAAATGCTCAAATCTCTGCTCAGGGAAACCTTCCTTGACTTCCCTTAATAGGCTAACTACTTTTGAGACCCTAATTTCTGTTCATTCACTTGTTACCTGTGTATCTTTGGGCAAAATAGTGAACTCTGCTCTTGATGATGATAATGATACCTAGAGCCTATTGCATGAGGTCAGTGGGAAGATTGAGTTACTACATTTAAAGTGCTTAGCCCATACCTCTGATACATAGTAAATGAATGCTCAGTATATATTATTTATTATTGATAATCATATATTTAATTTTACATTTATTTGTTGATGTGATTAACACCAGCAACTTTCTGTCTTCTTCACTGGATTGTAAATTCTAGAAACCTGAATGTTTTTCTCTTAGCATACCTGGAGCAGTGCTGGCAAATTTTAGGTATTAATAAGTATTTGCTAATTGCATATGAGGCAATGAAAAAAAAAGGGGAGCCAGGCATGAATGAGAAAGAAAGGAAGCTTGGGAAAAACAGGAAGCGGGGGAGAGCAGTTGTGGGGAGTTGAATGAATATATGAATAAGAATGGTTATACCTGGGAAGTGATCACAAGTTGTAGTCTTACTAGTTGCTACCTTGTGCCTTTAAGACAAATAGGTAGAACGGGTAGTAGGAAAGGGAAAAAATAAAATGTTGGGTTGTGTTCTTTTAGTTGTAAGATATCTTCTCAAAATAGATAATGTATTTTTCTTTAAAAATTTATTTATTTATATATACAAGAACTGGGGTGTAGGCCAGAAGTGGGGGGTGTTGAGAGGATTCACCAGAGAGAGTGGGGAGCAGAACAAGCAGATGTACTGAAATACTGCAGCGGGGTGATACAGGAGAGGTTTGCTGCACCAAGTGGATCACTTCCCTGGCTGGCTGGGATTAGAACTCAAGCTGAAGCAGTTGGATTGCTTGATAGTGCTGTCTTTAACCCTGCATCACCAGAGCGGCCCTAGCTATATAAGCATTATATATATTTTCTCCCAATCTGAGGCTGAGGCTTGCCCTTTCAATCTTTTTTTTTTTTTTTTAATTTATTTTGCACACAAGAACTGGGGTATAGGGCAGAGGTGGGTGGGTAGTGGTGAGAGGAGTCACCAGAGACAGATGGGGAACAGAACAGGCAGATCTATTGAAATACACTGTTGAGGGGAGTAGCAGGCGAGACAGATCTACAAGAGAGGTCTGTCTCACCATGTGGGTCACCTCCCTGGCTGGGGATCCAACTAGTGCAGTGGCTGTGGATTGCTTCATACTGCTGGGCTTTAACCCACTACACCACCAGGGAGGGCCCTAAATAATTGTTTTTTATTGTTACATTGGGTTATTTTCTATCTTAATTGTATTTTTTTTAAAGATTTATTTATGTATGTATACAGAACTGGGGTACAGGCCAGAGGCTCAGGGGCAGTGAGAGGCTTCACCAGAGACAGAGTGGGGAGCAGAACAGGCAGATCGACGAAGTACACTGCTGAGGGGAGCAGCGGGCTGGTCAGGAGAGGTCTGCCTGGCATGTGGTCCCTTCTGGGGCAGGCAGGAATCGAACTCATGCCAAAGTGGCTTTAGCTTCTCAGTGCTGTGCTTTAACCCGCTGCGCCACCAGGGAGGGCCAATTGTATTTTTTAAAAAACGTTTTAATTTTGGATGAAATCTAGTTTATTAGGATTTTTTTCTTTTCTGAATTTTGTTTCGTGTCCTACCCAAAGGTCCAAATCTATTAACTGTGTTTTCATCTTGAAGTTGTTTAGTTTTAGCTTTGATTTCAGGTTTGTAATCTATTCAAGTTTACTTTTTATATAAGACGTGTAGGTCATTTTTTCCTATCTAGATATTCAATTGTTTGGGCATCATTTGTTGAAAAAAACTAATGTTCCATTGAATTACTTTGTCACCTTTGATAAAATTAACTCGTATGTGTATATTTCTATTTCTGGAAGGTCTGTTCTTCCATTGCTTATACGTTGATGCGTACACCAATCTGGTATTTTCTTAATAACTGTAGTTTTATCATAAATCTTGAAATTGAGTGTGTAAATCCCACAGGTTCATTATTTTTCAAAATTGTTTTACCATTTCTATGTTTTCTACATTTTCGGATTACCTTGTCAATTCCTAATAAAGTCTGGTTGGATTTTGATTGATCTTACATTGCCTATTAATCAAGTTGTCTTCAGACCTTTTATAAACATTGAGTCTTTCAAACCATGGACATTTATTTCTTTAGGTTTTTTTAAATCTCTCTTAGTATTTGTAGTTTTCAGACCTTATTAATGTATTGCTAAATTTTCCCAAAGATTTTTCTTAATGGTATTAAATTAATTCAAATATATTTAAAATTTCAGTTTGTTGAGGCATATAAAAATACCACTCTTTTTTTTTTTTTGTCATAACAACTTTGTATCTGAAAACTTGCTAAATTGACTTACTAGTTTTTTTGTAGACTCCTTAGGACTTTCTATGTGTGTGATCAGATCATCTGCAAATAAAGAGTTTTATTTCTCCTTTTTTCAATCTTTATCCCTTTATTTTTCTTGAGTGTTGTATTAATTAGAACCTCTAATACCATTTTGAGTAAAAGTGATGCGAGCCATAGCCTTGTTCCTGATCTTAAGGGGAAATCAGTCTTTATGATAGTAACTGTAGATATTTCGGTAAATGCCACAGTTTAAATCACCTACCCAATTATGTGGAGACTTTTTTAGTATTTAATATGAAGGGTTTTTTTAATAGTTGTTTATTTTTACATCATTTTGTGCCTTTTCCCATCTCAGTTGTGTTCCCATCACCAAATCACCCTGTGCCATCACCATAGTTCGGTGCACTTCTCTCCCCCCACCGTTTTTGATCCCATTCCTCATTCCACCCCATAAAATGTCTTTGGTATATAGTTGCTTTTTATTATTTTTTTTTCTTCTCCCCTGGTGCTTTATACTGCTGCTATGAATGAAACCATTCTTTATTTTTACTTTTCTTTCTGGCTTATTTCTACTAAGCATGATCACTTAGAGCTCCATCCATGTTGCTGCAAAAGACATGTGTTTATTTTTTTTTTGGTTGCTGAGTAATATTCCATTGTGTATGTGTACATCTTTTTAATCCAGTCATCTACTTTTGGGGACTTGGGTTGTTTCCATGTCTTTCCAATTGTAAGTAAAGCAGCAATAAACATGGGGGTACTGGTGTCTTTTTGAATCAGTGTTTTTGGGTCTTCTGGGTAGATACCTAGGAGTGGCATTGTTGGGTCATAGGGAAGCTCCATTTTTAGCAGTTTGAGAAACCTCCAGTTTCTATAGTGGTTGTACTAGTTTGCATTCTCACCAGCAGTGCAGGAGAGTTCCTTTTTCTATGTGGAAACTTTTGTAATGAATGAGTGTTGAATTTTATCAAATGCATTTTCTGTATCTTTTGAGATGGTTGTGTTTTTTCTTTATTAATGTGACGGATTACACCAATGTTTGGTTGTTGAGGTAAACACTGGCTTCTTGGAATAAACATCACTTGGTTATGACATTATAACATTTTATATAGTGCTGGGTTTGACTTGCTAATATTTTGCTGAAGGTTTTTTTTTTTTAAATGTATTTATTTTCTTACATCGTGGATTATCTTTCAATAGTTACTGTTCCTCTTAGTGTGGCCCTTCTACCAGTAATCCACCCACCTACCACTGCCACCTTGCTGAAGGCTTTTGTATCATCATTTATGAGTGGTCTGTAGTTTGTATTTTTCTTAAGATTTTTTTTTTATGTTAGTGTAGACTAACATAACGTAATGAGTTGGAAAGTGTTATCTGTTTCCTCAAATAATTTATGCAAGATTGGTATTCTTTTTTTGTCCTTAGAATCTAAGAGAATTAAAGCATTTGAGATCCTCTGAGATATTTTAAATTATAAATTTTTTATAGGACTTATTTAATTACACATACAAGAACTGGGGTACAGGTCAGGGGTGCCGGGGTGAAGGTTTCACCAGAGACAGAGTGGAGAGCAGAACAGGTAGATTTACTGAATTACACTTCTGAGGGCAGCAGCTGGTGACACAGGAGAGGTCTGCTCACCGTATGTGGGTCAGCTCCCTGGTGGGGGATTGAACTCAGGCCATAGTAGTGATATCATTGAGACTTAACTCTGAGGCCACCAGGGAGGCTAGGAAATGCCTTTTTTAACGCAATATTCCTAGTTTGCTATTAATGATATATCTTTTCCAATGTTTACTTTTAATCTGTCTATATTTGAAGGTTGTTTTTTTGTTTTTTTTTTTTTTTTGCATTTCATATTTGCATTTCTTGTAGACTGTGAACAGTTTGGTCTGTCTTATTCTGACAATTTCAGCCTTTTAATTGGAATACTTCAACCATTTATACTTAATATAATTATGTAACTAACTCTTTAATTCAACAGACAGCACTACCATTGGGAAACATTGCTTGGATTTCTTTTACTAACTCTTCATCCAACAAACTTTCATCAGTATTAGTAGTGTAAGGTCTAATTAGTCCTTCAGCTAGTTTTTCATTATATTGAGTGAATGTGAGAAGGGCAAAGTCTTGTTTATTATGATGAAAGTAATTTAAAATTTATAGACCCCCAAGAAAGGTCTTGAGACCTCATTTTGCATACATCTCTAACTTGTCTGCTTCCAAGTAATTTTTTTATCTATGTACTAGACATGAATATTAAATTACTCAGATGTATTTGTCCTTAAAGACTATTGAGTTGCTATGAAAGATGGCTAAATTACCTTCAAATCAGCTGTTCCTTTGAGAATGGAGTGGACTAAGGTAGCTTTTATTTTGGAACAAAGTTAAAGTTCTATTTCTAAAGTTAATTGTCTTTCTGGGGTTTTTACTATGCACTGGGTGTTTACTGAATTCTCTCTTCTCTGGCTGGTTGGAATTCAAATGTATTCAAATGTGAGTTCCAGTAATTTTTCAGCTTATAGCTCTCAACTACAGACGTGTCTTGGAGATATTATGGGTTTGGTTCCAGACCACTGCAGTAAAGCAAATATTGTAATAAAGCAAGTCACATGAATTTTTTGGCTTCCTAGTACATGTGAAAGCCATGTTTATACTGTACTGTAGTCTGTTAAGTATACAATAGCTTGTCCCCAAAAATGTACACATCTTAATTAAATGCGACACAGACATGAAGTGAGCACATGCTGTTGAAAAAATGGTGCCAATAGTCATTATCAATGTCTGCTATGAACCTTCAGGGGTTTTTTTTGTTTGTTTTTTGTTGTTTTTTTTTTTTAATTATGAAGCACAGTTAATAAAAAGAAACACAGTAAAATGAGGTATGCCTGTATTTATTCTTTGCCAGGCCCCTTGGAGTCTCACTTTATATATGCACAACTTAGAATTCAGCCAGAAGACTAAAGGGAACCCCTGTGTAGGTTACTGAAGCTTTGTCTCGCTCTCGCTACTCTGCATCCACAAACTCCAGCCAACTCACCTCCCTGAATTCTGGTCTGTTCTCACCGGGACCACCATGTTCTCCTTGGATTCCCTACTCTACAGTGGGATCTACAGAATACCTCTGTGTGAGAGCAGGGTGATTACAAGGCTTATCTCGTTGCCTTTCTTTCAGGGATCATAGTCATGGTCTACCATGACTTATGTTTGAAAACAGTTTTGTTCATGTTGTTTTATGTTTAAAAGAGTTCGTGTGTTATCATTTCAGCATGAGTAGAGGCAGAGGTTAGACAACTAGTTTTAACTACTGTTTTCTGATAATTGCTTTGAAGTGTTTTTTATAAACAAACTAACCCCCCAATAGTTATTCTGTGTTTTTAGGATTTTTAAAAAATTGCTAAAAGAGTCATGAGACTTAAAACCCAAAAGGTACAAAAGAATATGCTGTTCAAGATTTGTCACCCTCATGGACCCCATTTACCCGTTGTTCTCACAAAAGGCAACTGCTGTTATATAAAGAACAACTTTCTAAGGCTGTATTCTTTTCTATTCTATAAAATATTCTGCATATATTCTACTTAATATTCTATTTGCTATACTTAATCTGGTTCCTTACTGAACAGTAATGAGTGTGCTGCTACAAATAATATATACAGATATAATGCCAATATTTCAGCTATACTTAGTGTCTTTGTTGGTAAACGTGTGATTTTATGATTTGTCCCACTTTTATGATGTCCACAATGAAAATCTTAAGCTGGATTTTCAAATGATAAGCTCTGAAGAAACTCTTAACAATATAATCAGTACTTTGTTTTGAATACTAAACTATAAAAATATATCAAGTATTAATCATCATCTGAGTACATATTACATATGTCACAATAATTTTTTATTCTTTCAGGCCATAATGCAACAGGGAGATACATCCATAAAACCCATCCTCCAAGTCATTGTGAGTACCTACCTGTATTTTATGTCAAACATTTTTAAACTTATGTATAATTATAAATTACATTTGATAAAGCATATACACATTTGTCTATTTTATTTTATTTTTATTTATATATGCATACAAGAACTCTGGGGCATAGGCCAGGAGGTGAGAACATTCACTAGAGACAGCGGGGAGCACAAGTAGATTGACTGAAATACACTGTGAGTGGGCCAGGAGAGGTCTGCCATACCATATGGGTCACCTCCCTGGCCCAGGATCAAACTCGTGCAGCAGTGGCTGTGGATAGCCTCATAGTGCTGTACTTTAACAAACCTTGTGTCATCAGGGAGTGCCCACATTTGTCAAATTTAGGAAATTGTCTCCATCATCACAAAAAAATAGTTCAGTTCATGCTGTAAACCCTGAGAGAGGAACCAAGCTTTCCCGCCCCAACATGTTAGCCAGAGGACCATCCCTGATGGCCCAGATGTTTAAAATGAGGCACTATGAAATTATCCACAGCCACTGCAGCACAAGATAAATCCCTGGCCAAAGAGGTGACCTATATGGCATGGCAGACCTCTCCTGGCCCACCTGCAGCTCCCCTCTGCAGGGTATTTCAGTCAATCTACCTGTTTTCCACTTTGTTTCTGGTGAATCCTCTCCCCCCCCACACCTCTGGCCTGTACCTCAGTTCTTGTATGCATAAGTAAATATTTCTTTTAAAAATGTTAGCCAGATTTAGACCTTCAGAGGTTCAGATTTGAGGCTTTCCTTTCCTGTTCTTCCCACAGTTGATGGATGCTCTGGTGCTGCATATCCTTACAACCTTCTTGTCTTCCTGTCTGTAGGTTTGGGTTGATTAAATCTGCCTTACATTTGGTCTTCAGAGAGACTTATCTAAAATGAACTTACCAGAAAGTATGTGTCAGAAGTAGGTATAAGATAATGGAAAAGAAAAGACCTATTATAACCCAGTAAAATTTTATCTAGTAAAAAATAAGTAAAATGAATTTGTCTGCTTCAAATTCTTCATTAATCCTACTAATTTAAGGAGTCCTCAAATTTTAGTGGGAATTTAAGAAGTCAGTGGAAGCAGAATCCTAAAACATACCTGCAGATTCTGAGTCAGTAAACCTGGTGGTGACCTTGTTACTCTAATAGTAACTTCCAGTCATTTACTTTTTTAAGATTTATTTATGCACACAAGAGCTGTGGTATAGGCCAGATATGTGGAGAGGTAGGCCAGAGACAGCGCGGGGAACAGAACAGGCAGATATACTGAAATACAGTGCTGAGGGGAGCAGTGGGCCAGACAGGCGAGGTCTGCTGAGCCATTGGATCAGCTCCTTGGCTGGGGATGGAACTTGTGCTGCAGTGACTGCGGACAGCCTGATAATGCTGAGACTTCTTGCTATTTGTCTTATGGTGCTCTTTACCTATTTTACTTCTTTCAGAGAGCTATCTAGTTTCTTTAAGTTGGTATAAGTTTTTTGACTGTATCCCTAGGTCATCATGTCTATACCTTTTCTCATCTTCCTGTCTTTCTCTATTGTAAATCTCTTTAGGGTAAGGTTTTTTTTTCTTTTTTGTATTTTTACCATGTTTCCTACACAGCTCCTGCCATGTATTAGGCACCTTGTTATATGTTATTTTAAAATAGATTTTCAACTAATTTGAATAGGGGAGAGAGAATGAAAGAGTATTGACAGTTTGTTTTATGCTTATCTGTAGAGTACTTGATAATGTTAGTGGGGAGATGGTGGTGGGAGAATCATCAAAGCCAATTTTCTTTTCTTTTTTTTTTTTTTTAAGATTTATTTATTTGTGCATACAGAACTGGGGTACAGGCCAGAGGCTCAGGGGCGGCGAGAGGCTTCATCAGAGACAGAGTGGGGAGCAGAACAGGCAGACTGTCGAAGTACACTGCTGAGGGGAGCAGCGGGCGGGTCAGGAGAGGTCTGCCACGCCATGTGGTCACCTCCGGGGCAGGCGGGAATCGAACTCATGCGGAAGCGGCTTTAGATTCTCAGTGCTGGGCTTTAACCCGCTGCGCCACCAGGGAGGGCCGCCAATTTTCTTTTATTTGGATTTAGGTGTCAAGAGTGAGCAGAAAGTGAAGTTTGTGTTGAATTAAATGGCAAACCCACTCTCCTGCTACTTAGGCTTGCTTATCCTTAGGGACTGGGCACATAACCTAGTTAATGACTAAAATTTTCTATTCCTAGAACATTCGTCCTATTACTACAGGGAATAGTCCACCCCGTTATCGACTGCTTATGAGTGATGGATTGAACACTCTATCCTGTAAGTATGGTATAAAATTCCAGGAATTTGTACTAAATAATAAAAGCACACCCAACACTTTGCAGTAATCTGGGGTCATTCCAGAAATATTCATTTGCTTCACTATGCACTTGATTGAGACAGTTGCAGCTGGCAGAGAGTTTTCTAACAGTAGACTGAATCTAGTGGAAAGCTGCCACTTGGCTTAGTTAATTATCTCTAACTGGTGCTCTGTTTTCTTTGATTAATTTCCCTTAGGATGATACTGACATTTAGTGAATAGGATGGGTTAGCTATCTTATACTTCCCTTTTTGAGGTTTTGGTTCTGTGTTGGAAATTTAACATGGGAGGAGGAAAAGAGTATAAAAAGCGTTTGCCCTCTCTAGTCATAATGTGAAAAGATGTAGAAAAGAGTTAGTCATTGTCTTGAAATCTGAATGATGGAAAAAATTATTTGGGCGCTTTAAGAAATAAGTAACATTCAGAGTAGCAGTAGGTGTTTAATGCATCTCAAATTATACCCTTTTATTTTTTTTTAACTAAGCAGTATAACTGGTTTCAATTGTGGGAACATATTTAAGGCATTACTTTTCTTTGCAAGCACAGGTGTGATCAACTTTTGAATTGTTCTGACTGAAATGTTTTGGAGACTAAAGTAATCTCTGCTTTTCAGCTTTCATGTTGGCAACACAGTTGAACCCTCTTGTTGAGCAAGAAAAATTATCTAGCAACTGTATTTGCCAGATTAACCGATTTATTGTTAACACTTTGAAAGATGGAAGGTATGTGGTGTTTTTGTTTTCTGTTTTAATGTGGTATAGATTGGAACTAATTTTAGATGTCAGGATATAATTAGAAACCAAAAAAGGGGATGATGAGCATTCAATTAAGAATTGACAGTTGTTAAATTCTGAACTCAAGTGACAAAAACATGGCACTAAAGGGAGAGAACTGTAGAAACAAACTGGAGATTTCAGAGCAGGAGATTAAAGCTGAATACAGAACTCTCCTTACTCTAATCTCAGGACACTTTTTAAGATTCTCAAGGTACCTGTTTTCAGTCAGAGGCACTTATTAGAGCAAAAAATGCAATTAATAATGTTATGCTGTCCTTTACGATTTTGAATCTTTTCCTGGTAAATACTTTGTTGAGTACTTCCAAGATGCCACATGCTAAAGATAAAATAGTGAACAGAAATATTAATTCCCTCATGAGGAACCCTTGCTAAAATAATAAGATTTTAGTTGGGGAGAGTCTTTACATTCAATTTTTCTTCCAGGGTTTTTATTTTCAATTACAAGTAGCCAAAAAAAAAAAGAATTATGGTAAAGATTTTCATCTTAATAAGGGTATATAAATGTATGTTATTATCTATCTGTGCTTGTCTAAGTAACTGTGTACTTGATAGATCACTATTCTTTTAACTTAACTTTTTGTTGCTGATTTGGATTTGATAGAGATAGCATATAGTTTTGGAATTCATTTTTTTTTTTAAGATTTATTTATTTATGCATACAGAACTGGGGTATAGGCCAGAGGCACAGGGGCGGCTAGAGGCTTCACCAGAGACAGAGTGGGGAGCAGAACAGGCAGATCGACCAAGTATATCTGAGGGGAGCAGTGGGCAGGTCAGGAGAAGTCTGCCACACTATGTGGTCACCTCCGGGGCAGGCGGGAATTGAACTCATGCTGAAGTGGCTTTAGCTTCTTAGTGCTGTGCTTTAACCCGCTGCACCACCAGGAAGAGCCGGAATTCTTTTTTAATTTAATTGGAGTTTATTCTCTATGTTTTTTCCCTAAATTTTGTTAACTACTATATTCTTGCTTGTTTCTCTTTTCCTGTCTTGGATAGTTTAATTTTCTTCCCCTAAATTGATTTGGAAGTTGTTCACTTTACATTTTCTTTGTTTACACATACATATTTAAAAATCTATATTTGAGTTATATTCTAAAATAGATTAATATTTTAACCATCTCCCCAAGTAAAATAAAGGTCTTAAAGTGATCTGTTCTCATTGTCTTAGTTCAACTTTGTGGGTTTTTTTTTTTTTTAAGATTTATTTATTTATGCAAGTTACCCATAGTTTACCTCACCTTTGCCTCTTTTATCACATTCTTTTCTCCTTAGTCCAATTTATGCTTTCCTGAAGAACATCTTCTGACTGTTCTTTTAAGGGAACTTATGCATGGTAAAAATCTCTATCTAAAAATTTAGATCTATATATTTAAATTGTGTTCATTTAAATATTGATTGTAACAGCAGAGTTGAAAACAACCCAAATGTTCATGAATAGGGGAATGGTTAAATAAATTATGAGCATATACACACTTTGGATTATTATGTAGTAGTTTAAAAATTTAATTAGATCTAAATGTATATTTATTTGTTTGTTTTAAAAAGCTTTTTTTTTTTTTTATTTAAGATTATTTATTTATGCAAACAGAACTGAGGTACAGGCCAGAGGCGCAGGGGTGGTGAGAGGATTCACCAGAGATAGAGTGGGGAGCAGAACAGGCAGATTAATGAAGTACACTGCTGAGGGGAGCAGTAGTGGGTGAGGCAGGAGAGGTCTGCTATGCCATATGGGTCAGCTCCCTGGCTAGGGATCCAGCTGGTGCTGAAGTGTCTATGACTAGCTTTGTAGTGCTATGCTTAACCTTGTACCACCAGGGAGGACCCAAATGTATATTTAATGACATGTAAATAATGCCATTTGTTACTATTCAGTGACAAAAACAAGCTACAGAATAACTTCATTAATGCTTTCCTTTTTCCTTTTTTTTTTTTTTTTTTTTGGCGGTAACATTGGTTCATAACAATAATGTGAACTAAAACCGTGCTATCACACCTCAGATGCATGTCCTCAAACCAAGGCAACTATAGTCTTCCACCATAGTGCATTGTTCCCTCCCTCACTGTTCCTCTACCATTTTTATCCTTAGCCTCAAACCCATAATCTTTTTTCTAGGATGTGTTACTCGTTTGATATAATCCTTTTGTTTCTGTTATTTACATGTAAGTGATACCATTCAGTGTTGATCTTTTTTCTTCTGATTTACTTTGTTTAGCATTATCCTCTCCAATGTCATGCATGCCACAAATGGCAGACGCGCATCTTTTTCAGGGCTGAGTAGTAATCCATTGTATATAAATAACATCTTCTTAATCTACTGCCAAATCTTAGATTATTAAATAATAGGTTGCAACCTGTTGAGTAAAATAGGGCCTTATTAATCCATATTAAATAAATGACTTCGTGGGGGAACAGAAAGCTTTTTCTTACAGTAGAATGTTATGTAACAAATGTAGAAGAAATGAAGGAATTAGAAAATCACCATTTTGCAGCCAGTAATAATTCATATAGGAAACATCAATAGATGTTATATAAGTTTCTTGTGACTGCTATACAAATTACCACAAGCTTGGTAGTTTATTTATTAAGATTTACCAATAATGTATAACTAGAAGTTGTGTGGTACCTGGATAGGATGCATTGAGAACACAACATCATTATTGTTATATTCTTCCCAAAGATACCTAGTCTGTATTCAGTCATGAGAAAACCTTGGGTAGAGTTAGGGGCATTCTGCAAAATAACTGGCCTCTCATTTTCAAATCTCAATTATGAAAATAAAAGACTAAGAAATTGTTCCAGATTGAAAGAGCCTAGAAAGTCATGGTAATTAAATAGAACAAGTGATCCCTGGACCAGATCTTTTAGAATATCTTTGAGACAGTGATGAAATTTGAATGGGTCCCACAGCTTAGAATTCTTCAAGTTTAATGACTGAAGTCAGGCTTTGTCTCTGTTGATTGTCTCACCCCCATATATGGCATGCCTTTTCATTCTGTAGGTTCCATTCTTTCTTTTTAAGGAAATTTTTCTGTTATTCCTTTATGCTGTTTTCTACTTGAGTTCCAGTTTTTACTGATGCTGAGAATAACATTGTTCTCCATGGATGTCTTTAGTTTGCTTTAGAATTGGTTTTTCTTTCTTTCTTTTTTTATAGATTGACTTCCTCAGGATTTTCCAGCATAATAATTTAGTTTTTAGCTTTTTTAGTTCCATTTCTTAATGTTTATAGTTTAAATGTTAAATATATAATGGTGTTACTTTTGTTCTCAGTTTGATTTTTGTTTTACTGAATTCTTAGTCTTCAGAATTTTTTTTTTTCAAATCACTCTTGGGAAGTATTTCCTTTCTTGGCTTATCTTTTATTCTAGACTGAATTCTTTGTCTCTGCCTTCTTCATTTTTATAGAGTGCTGTGTTTTACATTGTTGTTGTGTCCCCTCTCTTTTTTCTCTTGCTCATGTTTAATGTGAGCAGACCTGTCCAGATTTAATTTTCATTCTGACATAGTCTAGGCACATCTCCTTGCCAACCTTACCACTGGGGACCTCTTATCTTCTATTCCAGGCTACCTTTGAATGATGCTTTCTGCCGACTTTTCTGTTCTCTAGGGATGATTGTAAGAGAATGTGGCACACCTTGCTATGATTTGAGTACATTTTCTCCAGTCGGGGACAGAATGGGCTTTGCGTTAATATGCCACCTCTGCACAGTGGCCTGCCTGTATTCTTCCTACCTCTGCTAAGAATCTGTATGCATATGCTTGAGTTTACTCTTTGCCTTTTTGATGGTCATTGAGATTTATTCTAAACAAGCTGTTGGCAGTCATCCTTGTATATTTGTTTATGTCTTCGTGCTGTTATTTCTGAACATTAGGTTGCTGGAGTTGTGAGGTCAAGGAATATCTGTTGGGCAATACATACCAATTAATACATTTGTGAATGTTGCATAAAATTGTCTGGAATAGGCAAACCCACAGAAACAGAATTAATTTACTGATTCCTAGGATGGGGGTGGGGGTGGAGGAGAAATGTATACTAGGCACAGAGTTTTAATTCTGAATATACTGACAACCATTTAATTAATTATACATTCAGGGCTCTCCCTGGTGGCACAACAGGTTAAAGCACTACATTATGAAGCTCTCTGAAGCCACTGCAGCACAAGTTCCATCCCTGGCCAGGGAGGTGACCCACATAGTGTGGCAGACCTCTCCTGACCCACCTGCTGTTCCCCTCAGCAGTGTATTTCAGTGGCTCTGCCTGTTCTGCTCCCCATTCTGATTCTGGTGAATCCTCTCACCCCTCCCCCCACACCTCTGGCCTGTACCCCAGTTCTGTAAGCATAAATAAATCTTTTAAAAAATTATACATCCAGAATCTGAATGATAGCTCAATAAATGTATTATTAGGGGGGAAAAGTACTTGGTTCCACTTAACACTGTCACCGTATGGATCATACTCATTTTAAAAAATGCTAATTATCATTTAGAATTTTTATTAGTCTATCTATGGTGTTTCATGGTATGATATTGAGGAAAATTAGTTGTTGCTTTAAGATTGATTTATTTATGCATACAGAATGAAGTATAGGCCAGAGGTGCAGGGGAAGTGAGAGGATTCACCAGAGACAGAGCCGAACAGGCAGATCGCTTAAGTACCTGCTGATGGAAGCACTGGGCGAGACAGGAGCAGTCTGCTGTGCCATATGGGCCACCTCTCTGGCCAGGGATTGAATTCGTGCTGAGTTGGCTGGCTCAGTGCTGTGCTTTAACTAGTTGTGCTCCCAGGCAGAACCTGAGAAAAAGTAGTTCTTGAGATACTTCTGTAGACTTTAGTTCATCTGAGGTTTATTTTTACATAGGCTATAAAGGAGGGATAATTTTTTCAAAATGGAGAGCACCAATTATGAAGGACCTTCAGCCCCCAATAAGGAGTTTAGATTTTATTGAGTATGATGGAAACCATTAGGTTTTAAGCTGACAGTGGTTTCCAAAAGTTTATGCTGGTGGTTGTGCGGAGGACTGGTGGTTGGTGGCAGAAGTAGGTATGGAGAGTATTGGTTTTCCATTTTCTGAATCTTTTTTGTGTCTGCCATCTTTTCCATTGACCTGTTTCATTTGTCAGAACTATAAAGGTTCTGTATTTTATTTATTTTTACATATTTGTGCATATAAGAACTGGGATACAGGCCAGAGGTGTGGGGATTCACCAAAGACAGTAGGGAACAGAACAGGCAGATCTGCAGAAATACACTGCTGAGGGGAGTAGCGATGAGACAGGAGGTCTGCTGCGCCATGTGGGTCAGCTCTTTGGAAGGGTGTTGAACTTGTACTCTGATGGCTGGCAAAAGCTTGATGAGGACATTCCTGTTTTTCTTCTTTGTTGAGATATAATTCACAGAGCATAAAAACTCAGCCATTTAAAGTGTAAAACAGGGGCCCCCCTTGTGGCACAAGGGGTTAAAGCACAGCACTGTGAATTATCCACAACCACTGCAGCATGAGTTCACTTCCTAGGCAGGACCCATATGACGTGGTAGACCTCTCCTAGACCACCTGCTTCTCCCCTCAGCAGGGTATTTCAGTCACTTCTGCCCTCCACTCTGTTTCCGGTGAATCCTCTCACCCTTCACACCTCTGGCCTGTACCCCAGTTCTTGTATTCATGAATAAATCAATCTTTTTTTTTTTTAAGTGTAAAATAATTTTGTATGTTCAGTTATATGATTACTTTTAGAATTTTTATCATTTCAAAAATGACCTCTGTATCCTTTAGCTATCATCTCAGCCTCCATCCTCCCCAGCCCTAGGCAACCTCTAATTTACTTTCTGTTTCTGTAGATTTGCCTATTGTAAACATTTCATACAAATGAAATATAATATGTGGTCCTTTGTGACTGTCCTCTTAGCATATTGCCTTCAAAGTTTACCCATGTTGCAGCACGTGTCAGTACTTT